ATTGTGGAGGAAATAAAATACCTTCATTTGGACATTATATATCCTTGTATATGTTCTTGTGAATTTTTCTGCCACTTTGTCTCTTTCTCTTTGCATGACAGGTACTAACACAACTTTCTGTGCAATATACTCATTTTGCCTTGTAAAGTTTCCAAATTTCCAAAAATTCATGAACACTTGTCTCCGTGAGTCTTCAGAGCCTATCTCTGGTATACACCGATACTTGCAACCACAATGTTTATCCACATAATGTTTTTCTTCTTTCAGTTTCCCTGCTGCAGTGTAATATGCTGCACCACTATTCCTCTTGAATTTTCTCTCTAGCCTCGTCATGGAGCCCACTTGTTCTCCGCTTCTCTTTTTCCTACTGGGTTCAGGCATTCCTTGTCCTTCCACTGGCACTTGTTCTCTAGTCTGCTCAGGGCCATCATTCAGAGCACTGGGAGCAGAAGTCGGTAAAACATCCACAGCCACTGGGGGATTTCTAGCTGACGCACTCTTTTTGCTGGTCCAAGACTTTTCAATGTGTCGATACACCCACAGACTAACTGGCACTTTCCCCCTTTCCTCACACCATCTTTTATACATCTCATACATCTTTTTGACAGACAAGTCCTTTCCCGCTGTTTCACCGAGATCCCCTATATTGTGGATGGGGTTTTCTCCCCCCTCCTCTCGACTGTACCTCAATGACCAGATGTGCTGCGTCACAAGGTCACAATCCTCCTGGGAAGTCTTGTTGCTTGGCGTATGTTGGCCTCTCTTGTCCTGTGAGTGTTGGTGTTATTAAATTTTTTTATTAAAACTTTTTTTGACAAATCAGAAAAAAACATACATATGCATTTTTAAAAATAAGTGTAATGAAATATCTTAGTAATATCTTTAAATAAAACCTATGATCATCGTTCTCCATTCTTCACATTATACAAGGAAGATGAATCTATACTCATCAAGAAGAAAATGTGTGAAGGAGCTTAATATCTTCACAGTGCAAGAGATGCATTTGATTCGTTTTAATTATATCTACATCAGAGATATAAGATCATAATAAGGCCACTGATAATAATTTGACTTATGATAATCCAAATGGCAATTTTAATACTGATATTGATAACAACAAATAACAGAACTAAAATAATGATAAAATGATAATGACGATGACAAAAACGAACAAAATGATTGTAAGAAACTCAAATAATAATAATAATAAAAATTCATAGATAAAGGCAGCTTCCTGACTCAACTCCTATATGCAGGCAGCTGCATCAGGACATTTTGGTTAAGCTGAAAAAAATTCTATCTCCAAGAGTCTAAAGATTATGGTTATTATGGAATCTGGTTACTGAGTTTCAGTAGCTCACAAAAAGTCACCTGCAGAGATGGAAAATAAATAAAAATAAACTAACTGGATGATGAAGAAGGACATAATAACTATATTACAGACTATGATCTAATCTTGAGCACCAATATATACTAGTCATATGATAAGCAAATTATAACCAAACTGCACTTTTTGTTTCTTTCTTTTTAACACCCAAAGCATACATTACATATAAGCTTTCTTCACTGTCTTGTTGCACTAATCAGCCTACCTGTAAAGCATCTGGCATTTGACAATTCACAGCCTGAAGTATGCGGTCCAGTCGGCCATTGGAGACACCATGGAGACGCAGGAACATTGTCTTGCATATACGCGTTTGTTTGCTGCAGTTCTGATTAATACAGTGAAATAAAAATAAAAAATATATTTTGTTTTTCAGATGAATCTTGGTTTTCCTACAACAAAAAATTGCTATTCAAGTGAATACAAAGTACAAAAAATTAGAGTATCATAATAGTTTATGATTATTAACTGTATTAGGTAAGGCACAGAATAATTTCGCTATTTTGTCATGTTGAAAATAAAATAAAAGTTGATGAGGAAATAACATTTACATCCATCCAACTATTTGTTCAATCATAAAAAAAAAAAATCATGTGACTTACCGGTAAACGAACATAATAAATTCTTGATACCGTTTTTGAATTTTTCTCTTCCAATGGTTTTGTCTGTTTTTTCTTGACATTGGGTACAAGTGTTACATTTTCAGCAAGATATGTATTTTGTTTACTAAAATCACCAATGTCCCAAAAGCTTCTAAATACATTTTCTCTATCTGTTACACTACCAAGTTTGGAGAGGCACTTATTCTTACACTCACAATCTTTATCCACAAATTTCTTAGCTTCAACAAGTTTTCCAGCGGCATTAATGTAAGATTCTCCTCGGTTCCTGCAAGACTTTCGAGCCACTTTGGCACTTATTCCCTCCTTCCTTAGCTTTCTCTTTTTCAAACCATCATTTTCTCTTTTTAAAGATGAACTATCACTAGTTCTTGGTTTTGAGACTGTGAGCTTATTACTAACAGGTACACTTGACGTCACCACTTGAACAGGCAGGCTACAGCTTCCATATCTCTGCCCCTGAATGTTCGCTGTCTGAGCAGTTACTTGTGGGTGTTGCGAGGCATGAAGTGGAGGGGTCCGTACAGCAACAGTTGAACTTTCATATGAGAAGTACTGTACTTGTGGTGCCTGTACCTGATTTACATGAGCAACACCCACATTGTTGAACACTGCATGGTATGACTGTAATGGTGCTGTTGGCTGTGGATGATGTGCATATCCCATGGTTACCATGCCAGAACCTCCTACCTGGCCTGTTGGCACCATGTCCTGTATACTTACAGGATGGCCAGTTGATGTGACTGTTGAGTTGCTAATGTTGGCTATGTTACTGATAGTATTGATATTTCCATAGCCATGAAGCTGATGTTGAAAAGTACTGTAACTGGTAACATCCACAGCTTGACCGAGTATATGAGACAGGCTAAATTGGGACTGCGGATCCATTATGACAATTGTCAATCCAAAATTAAACACTTTCGATAGATCAACAGAATATTCATTTACTGTGAGAACTAAAAATAAAAGCACATTACATTTGTGCAATTATATATTTTTTCCTTTTTTTCATTTTCCTTTTTTTACTGGTTAGTTTCTCCACGGTTGTTGTTCCATATTTATATTTTTCATGCTGTTTTCCCTATTGATTCTAGGTCAGAAACAAAAATATTTCACTCATGATAGCACTGTAAGTATTTTCTTAACACAGTATTAACAGAAAAGGGATCAGCCACTTTATGAATCCACAAATATTCTTTATGCACAAGCTACTTGGGTTTGGCCTTTTCCAATAGGTTCTGAAAAGAAAACCAACATTTATCATCTATTTATCTAAAATAACCAAAATAAATTTAAATATACCAATCAAAAACACAAAAAACACTAATACTGTTGATCTACACGCAATTCAGATTCAGTATTGATGAACCTCTTATGTTTTAGCTTAAAAATATGAATAATTTCAAAATGAGGTAAGATCTTTAGTTAAAAATTCATCTTTCAGCTTTAAGATAGTGACAAGTCGCATCGGACTTGATTTCCACACTGCTCACAAATTTTCTCTTGAAGAAAGAGTCTGTGCCTTACAAGTGGCTCAGTTAAATCTTCAAACTGGCTTTACCTATGAGATGAAACAGAACTATCATAATTCATAGGTAAAGGAGAAAAAGAGAAAATCATCCATCCTGCATAAGTGAAACAAGATTATGAAGGATGATCAATGGGATATACACCCCTTAGATGTCCAGCAAAAGAAAACAAGGCGTGGGACTTAGACTCTTCTCTGCCATGTATCTCCTTTCTTTTCAATTAGCGCACCTTATGCTAGAGATAAAAAGTGTCATAGTTTATGTCAAGGTAATCATTCCATACATTTTTTTTTTTTTATTGTAACCCTGATTGTTAATTAGTAATGAGATCGGCCTAGAAAAAAAATATATAAACATCCATTTCTGATTATTAAATATCCACAATATTTAAGCATATCATACCTCACAGTTTTCCCGTTACACTTCATATACTTCCTGGAAGGTAAGGCCAAGAGAGCCAAGCTTTATATTTGTATGTATAAGTTAAATCATTATTTTAGAAGACAACCTTAACCCTAATTGAGTTCTTCTATATTCAACCTTTCCTACTCTTACCAATCTTACCGATATATTCACCTCATAATGAACCCTTCTAACTTTTTCATCATTACTTGAAAGGCTTAGATAAATAAGATAACATGAACTTTCGAAAAGGCTTCCGTAAATATAACCCGAGTGGCTTTGTTTACGTTGGTTTGTTTACATTGTAGGGATCATTCACTCCGCGTCGAATTTCATATTTTATTTTCTTGAAATGTTAGTGATTTTGAAGAAAAATAATCTTTTGAGACATATCATTTCTTTCCCTATCATTATCATTAGGCTTGCGAGATGCTTAATACAAGTACGTTAATATTCATGTTTCCGACTATGAAAATTTCCCTCTCGTATTTTGTAATATAAGCGATCCATTTAAAAAACAAAACAAAATATTCTGCGTAAAACGCAAACAAACAAAAACATGGGTTTCTATTTTTTTTTTCTTTTTATGAAAATGCAGTTTGATTACAGGTCACAGGTAAGAGCTGTTTGATATATGATGAAGTAATATCACATGAAGAAGGTAGTAGTAGTTGTAGTAGTGTAGTTGTAGTTGTAGTTGTAGTTGTAGTTGTAGTTGTAGTTGTAGTTGTAGTTGTAGTTGTAGTTGTAGTTGTAGTTGTAGTTGTAGTTGTAGTTGTAGTTGTAGTTGTTGTAGTTGTAGTTGTAGTTGTAGTGTAGTTGTAGTTGTAGTTGTAGTTGTAGTTGTAGTTGTCGTCGTTACTGTTGCTGTCACTGTCGTTCACTGTCGAGGTCGTAGTCGTAGTTGTGATGGTGACTGACGTTGGTTGCGATGGTGGTATTGGAGGAGGAGGAGGAGAAACAGGAACAGGAGGAGGAACAGGAATAGGAATAGGAACAGGAACAGGAACAGGACCAGGAGGAGAAGAAAGAGGAACAGGAACAGGGGGAGGAGGACGAGGACTAGGAGGAAGAGGAAGAGGAAGAGGGCTAGGAGAACTAGTAGAAAGGGGAAGAGGAAGAGAAAGAGGAGGAGGAAGAATGAGAAAGAGACAGAAGAGGAGAAGGACAAAGAGGTGGAAATGATGGCGATGGGGATGGGGATAGAGAAGATGGTGGTGGTGGTGGTGATGGTGATGAAGATAGTGATGGTGGTATCATAGATCCTTAACTGTTGCCGATGTCAGTGGATTTTTTTCCGGCGTGACAAAGCAGACCGACGATAGAGGCAATGTTGGTCCCGCTAGAAAAGGGATTTAAGTATAAGAGGGAAATTACAAAATAAAAAAAGAAGAAATAAAAATGATAATAAGGGCTCATATCACGGCATATTAGTTACCCAGTGGGGGTACCGGAAATGTTGAGTATATTCGTTATATGATAAATTATGTAAATTCCGGAATTAAAGGCATTAATTTGCAGTTGCCTACGACAATAGCCGATAATATTTTGGACCAGTCTGTGTGTGTGTGTGTGTGTGTGTGTGTGTGTGTATATATATAATATATATATATATATATATATATATATATATATATATATATATATATACATATATATACATACATACATACATATATACATATACATACATATATATATATATATATATATATATATATATATATATATATATATATTCTCTCTCTCTCTCTCTTCTCTCTCTCTCTCTCTCTCTCTCTCTCTCTCTCTCTCTCTCTCTCTCTCTCTCTCTCTCTCTCTCTCTCTCTCTCTCTCTCTCTCACATACACATATATAATATAATATATATATATATATATATTATATATATAATATATATAAGTATATATATACATAGATATATATGTATGTGTGTGTGTGTGTGTGTGTGTGTGTGTGTGGTGTGTATGTATATATGTATATGTGTATGTATATATATATATATATATATAATATATATGTGTGCGTGTATGTATATATATATGCATATATATGTATATATACATATATAGATACACAAATACGCGCGCTCGCGTGTGTATTTGTGGGTGGGTGTGGAGGTGTTTGTGCGCGCGCGCGCTCGTGTGCACCTCCGTGCTGATGTAAATAGATATTCATAGTTGAACTTCCTCAACCACATACACAAGCACAGGCAGGTCCACACTAATACGTTTGTGTTAATATGTGTATAATAAGTGTAGCAGGCAAAAAAAAAAAAAAAAAAAATCAGAATGTGGATATTACACAGAAAACTTCATATTTCATATGGCATATAACATTTTCAATGCATTTATATTGAATTATTCCAACCCTTGACGGTGTAGAATATTTCACATCCTTAAAAAGATTTACTGAAACAGCATCTGACAAATAGTATTTTATTGATGTTTAATTTTCACATACATGGAAATTTTGAATCACAAACAGGTGGATACACACTTATAGCATAAGTAAAGGGTAAATTATTATTAAAACCAATGTGTTGTTTGGTTTAAAGCCTTTACTGTAGACGTATAAAATGAACAGTAGACAGTAAATAACAGTGATTCGTTGTTTGGTATATTTTAACCCTGTCCCATGTGAATTCATTTAAATCCTTGTACTGATGACCTTATCCGTTAAAATCTAGGCTGTTGTACACTCATTGGACCCACAGTCAATGATTTCCTGTTCTAGCCCCCCCCCCCCCCCATCCCTAACCACAGTTTTGTTAAGTCCTTCCCTAGGTCGAGTTGGATATTCGTTATGGTGAGGGTAAGGTTTTGATAAAGCTTCGAATAGCCTGGAGAAAAGTGCTGCAGAGTTTCCGCGTCGGCTCTCAAGTCTTCCGTCTTGGCTTCGAGGTCCTGTGCCTTGTGCTCTAGCTCCTCCAGGGGGCACCCGCCTGCAGAGGTCGCGTTCGTTGCAGAAAGGGAATGGAGGAACATCTGGAAGGTGGATTCGGATGCTCCAGCGGATCGGTTCACGTTCTGTATGGCCGACTCAGAACCGATGGCCTTGTCGTGGCTTTAATAATGTCTAAGAGAATACTTTTAGCTTCTGTCAAAGAACTGTTGATGGAGGCTTCCACTCTAAAACCACTTTCACCAGTATCTGCATCTATACAATAAGCAAGCAGATACCCTTAAAACGTAAACCACCATGCTATTTCACAAGTATTTTTTCAATATAAATCGCCTTTCCCACCATATATATAAATAGGCACATTGCTAATGAGGATCCACTAAGCTTCACTGACAACACATAAAATGATACACATACTTGTTATTCCAAGTATGTACTCAGTTTACACACACAATGTAAACAACAGTAACTGTGCGTGTGTGTGTGTGTGGTTACAAATTGTATATATCATATATATATATATTTATATCTCTCTCTCTCTATCGGTCTACCTGTTTGTCTGTCTATCTATCTATCTATCTATCTATCTATCTATCTATATATATAGTATGTATATATATATATATATATATATATATATATATATATATGTGTGTGTGTG